ACTGTGTTTTATCTGTCTCAGAGTAATTGCTTTCTTCAGGAACTTCCAGATATTGGATTTGGTTTCCCTGGCAACTCCTGTTTCGAAGAATTATTTTTTTTCCTGATTATTTAAGAGCAATTCAAGGGAATCACCAATAACCACTGGATAGAAACAATAAAAGAGAATGAAAGTGCTCACTACAGCCTCTGAGAAAGGAAGTGAAAAACAAAATACTAAGACCTATGCAAATGGAAATAAAGTGTGTGAGAAAATACTGATGGACAGATTTACATGCCCTGTGATTTATATTTGACAAAGAACTTTTGTGTGTGAAGTGGACTATCTCTTCGAATGAAAGTGTTCCTAAGCCATGGATTAACCACTATGGAGTCAGGTAATGAGTATATTTCCTTTGGACAATGTCTTATTTGTTTTGATATTTTTTATTTTTATTTTTTGGTTGGTCGTGGGGCTTGAACTGTGGGCCCAGACCCTGATCCCTCAGCTCTTCAGCTCAAGGCTAGAACTCCACCACTTAACCCACTGTGCACGTTAGGTTTTCTAGTGGTTAATTAGAGATAAGAATTTTATGGCCTTTCTTGACCAGGCTGGCTTTGAATGCAATCCTCAGATTTCAGCCTCCTGAGTAGCTAGGAATATAGGTGTGAGCCACCAGCGCTGGGCGTTATTTTAATTTTTTGTGCTGATACTGTTTGATCAAACCCATATTCTTAGTCTTGTCTAGTCAATGAATAGACAAAGCATTTAATAAAACTGTTTAAAAGTTGAAACATACCTATTTAGTAGAAGGATTTTTTCCCTCCGAATCAAGGTTAAAGGAATGTAATTTGTTTTGTTGTTGTTTTTGTTTTTCGTTTTGTCAGTCGTGGGTTTGAATTATCTGGGAGCTGTCCCTGAAGTTTTTCCACTCAAGACCCTACCACTTTGGGTCAAAGCGCCATTTCCGGTCTTCTGAGATAAAAGTCTCACAGACTTCTCTGCCCGGGTTGCCTTCAAACCGTGATCCTCAGATCTCAGCTTCCTGAGTAACTAGGATTATAGGCTTGAGCCACCAGTGCCCGGCATACTGGATTCTTAACCATAGAAAGAGGAAATATAATGTTCCAACCTGAGTACTGTCTAGTAAATTCAATAGCTCAGATACATTCTTGAGTTTTGGGATTAAATTCTGTGTTGTTCATATTTTAATGAAAAGTAAATGTCCATTTACTTGGACGGTGTCCAGGCCCTGAGTTTAAGTCCCAAGATCTGTAAATACACACACACACACACACACACACACACGCACGCACGCACGCACACAGTGTAAACATGCTATTCGTGCATGAAATTATTCACTTATTACATATAGATAATTAATGATCATATTTTTTCATATTTAATCCCAAACAAAACACTCCTGTTATGTTTCCTTCCTTTTTAGATGTCTGCTTCTGGGTGCGACAGCATCGCTGGTGGAAATGGTGTTTGTCAATCTTTCCACCTAAACCCCATTATGAAGTAGTTCTACTATGTGGAAGGTTTAGTCCCACCTTGGACTCAGATATGAGTCCTGATTGGCCAGGACTAACAAGTGTCATCCCATCCTTTATAGGGATTGGCTGATGTAACTTATGCCTGAGCCAATCAGTGTTCTGCTGGACACGCACGTAGCCTGAACAGTATTGTCTCCGTTGGCACGAAGCCACTGGTAAGGCTGGCAGCCATATGTGTCCTTGAGGCTCGCGAGGACGCTCCAAAAGCCAATTTAGGCTGAAGGAGTCACATGAGCCTCACAAGGGATTTGGAGATCATTCTTGAAGACTTATCTCTGCACTTTTTTGTTATGTAAGTTGAATTTACTGTTCCTTGTAAATGAACAAATGAGTACTCCGGTTCAGTAGCTAACCTGAGTGTGCTAAAATTTCAGTTAAGAGTGTTTACAGTTGGTGTGGTACATTGTACATACTTTGGGATTTTTTTTTTTTCTGTGGTGCTGGTCATGGGGCTTGAAGTCAGAGTCTGAGCACTGTTACCAACCTTTTGTATTCAAGATTAATCCTCCACTTCTTTGAGTTACAGCTCTCCTTCCAGGTTTTAGGGAAATAAGAGTCTCAAGAATTTCCCTGGCTTGGCTTTGAACTGAAATCCTCAGATCTCAGCTTCCTGAATACCTAGGATTACAGTCATGAGCCACCAGTGCCTAGCAGGGCCTTGACCCCCACAAGACTGGTGCTCTACCATTTAAGTTATGCTCCAGCCCTTTTTGCACTGGCTATCTTAGATTACAACTCTACTATTTATGCTGGGATCACAGCAAGTTGCCAACATCTGGCTTATCTGTGGTGTGTGTGTATGTGTGTTTGTGTGTGTAAAGTGGGAAAGAAAAAAGGAAAAGGAAGAACAGGTAATTCACTTTATAATCTGTTCTCTCTATATATTATATAATGTATGTATGTATGTATGTATATATATATATATATATATATTATAGGTTCCTAAATTGTATGGTTTTCCTGAAAAGGAAAATATTAACATGCTATATTCCCAACTTAAAGATCCCTGAAAAAAAATCTTTTTTCTTTTTCTTTTTTTAAGAATAAAGTCTAAATCTTTTTAGGGAAGTCAGCATAGGCTTTTTTTTCTTTCTTTTTTTAGGCTTGTGGTTAACTAACATTTTACCAGAGGAAACACACCTCCACTTTGGGCTGTGTGTGTGTTGATTGTGGGGCTTGAACTCAGCGCTTGGGTATTATCCCTGAGCAATTTTTGCTCAAGGGATCTACCACTTTTGAGCCACAGCTCTACTTCCAGATTTCTTTTTCTTCTGGTTGTGGGGCTTGAACTCAGGCCCTGGGCACTGTCCCTGAGCCTCTTGTGCTCAAGGCTAGCCCTCTACTACTTGAGCCACAGTTTCACTTCCATTTTTTTTGAGTGGTTAACTGGAGATAAGAGTGATAAAAGTTTCACAGGGACTTTTCTCTCAGGCTGGGTTTGATCCTGATTCTCAGATCTCAGCCTACTGAGTAACTAATTTAAGATATGAACAACCTGTGCTTGGCTCACTTTGGGCTTTTTTTTTTTTAATTTTATTTTATTTGTGAACATACTGTACAGAGGGGTTACAATTGCATGGGCAGGATAATGCGTACATTTCTTACCAAGCATTGCAGCCTCCTCCTTTGTTTACCCTTCCCATCCCTTCCCAGCCTCCCCCCTCCCGTCACTTTGGGCTTTTTGTTGGTTAGGTGGAGATAAGATTCATAAGAACTTGTCTGCCTAAGGCTGGAATCCGATCTCATCCTCCTGAATAGCTAGATTTTTGGTGTGTAAAGCCACATCCAATTTAAAGTATAAACCTTTATTTTTTTGGTGTGACACTTGAACTTGAGGCCTTTACACTGTTCCTTAGCTCTTTTGCTCAAGGCTATCTTTAAGCCACAGAGCCACTTCTGATTTTCTGGTGGTTAATTGGAGGTAAGAATCTCAAGGCCTTTCCTCTCCTGGCTACTCAGTTTCCTGAGTAGCTCAGATTATAGGCATGAGCCACCAGCACCCAGCTAAAGGATAAGACTTTTTTTTTTTTGGTCAGTCCTGGGGCTTGAACACTGTCTTTAAGCCCTTTCACTCAAGGCTAGTGCTCTACCACTTTGAGCCCTTGAACTACTTCCCGTTTTCTGGTCATTACTTGAAGATTTAGAGAGTGTCTAGGACTTTCCTCTTTGGTCTGGCTTTGAACTGCGATCCTCACATCTCAGCCTCCAGAGTAGCTAGGATTATAGGTGTGAATCACCAGTGCTGGACAATTATAAATATTTATGGTGACATTCAGAAGCCTGCATGATTTGGATGTAGCTCTAGAGTCAGATTTAATTGACTTAATTTTTCAATTTTGAAGTTGAATAATATTCTTCAGCCAATAATTGTAAAGATAATACTTACCACAAGGTGTGTCAACCCCTGCCAGGTGCTGGTGGCCTGTAATCCTAGCTACTCAGGAGTCTGAGATCTGAGCATGATGGTTCCAAGCCATCCCAGGCAGAAAAGTCTGTAAGACTTACTTCCAAAATTAACCACCAAAAAAGTGGAGGCTCCAAGTGGTAGAATGCTAACCTTTAGCAAAAAAAATTAAAAGAGTCGACCCTATTGTCAGGTTTAGGATTCACAATAATAAATATGGACTATTATGGTAGAACAAAATACTGTGTATGTGTTCATTCTTTTGATTGCTCAGGAAGTTCTTTTGAGGTGCTGATTTGGTCTGTGTGTGTGTGTGTGTGTATGCATGAGAGGGTTCAGTACCTTGAACTCTCAATCATGGCTGGCCCTCTACCACTTGAGTCACACCCCCTTGCTGGCTCATTAGAGTCTCAGTGACTTTTCTGCCTGGACTAGTTTTGAACCACTATCCTTCCAGATCTCGGCCACATGAATAGCTACAGATGTGATTACCAGCACCCAGACGGGTAGCTTTTTTCCTAGGCAAATGCTCTCCCTGCATTTACTGACTTAGATCTCCAGCGCTGTTTCCTTTATTTTCCAGTAGGCGGGGTGGAGCGAGATCGTCAAGTTTAGGAAAGAATAATTTGGAGAGAAGCAGCAGTCAGAGAAAACAGGAAACGGGTGATAAAAACGGTTGCAAATGTTGACAGTGTTTTTATAAGTCTCCTGCACAGCCTCTTCATTCAGCGCTGGGCAGCTTTGGTTACCTTATCAAGGCCTTATGGTTGTTGCATGCCATCTGAGCATTCATCAGATACGTTCATCCTGACCCGTTCCCCAAGCGCGTGTCTAACCAGTTATTAGAGGGACCTCCCTCCTCCGAGTTCGCTGCAGTGCCAGCGCGTCGTTTTCCCAAGTCACCCACTGAGATTCCTCCAACATTATAAGCATTTCCCCGGCCCTCCTTTCTGCGTGCCCCCAGCTCCCGGCGCCAGCCGTGCTCCGGGGACTTGTCTTCCCCCCTCCGCCGGGCTCTCGGCGGCCCGGCGTGACACCCTGTCCCTCCAGGTAGCTCAGCGCCAGGCGCGCAGTGCAGGTGCTTAGGTAAAGGCGTCGGGCACGAGGGTCCCGTGCCATCTCAGTGACATCACATCCTGCGCGCAGCGACGTCATTCTGCACGCCTCCGCGGGAGCCTCCGAGGCTTCTATGGCCGTGGATAACAGCGCCGAATGTCCCCTGACAGCAGGCTGCGGCTGCAGGCCGCCCACGGCCGGCGCGGCCCGACGCTTTCGGCAAAGCCAGACGTCGGCTGTCGGCCTGGGACGCGCCGGGCGCGAAGCGACCTGGGAATAGGATGGGTGCGTGGGAGGGAGCGGAGGGGAGGGGGCCACGGGGGAGGGGGGGAGGAGACGGGAGGAGGGAACGAACGGCTCACTTATCGCGATGTTTCCTCCCTTCAAACTCCCAGGGGAGCTCTCGCGAGAGGAGCAAAGGAAGATGGCTGTGCCCTGTTTTTCCCCGTGAGGCCGTGGTGGCGGCGACTGCGGCGGCGGTGACTAGACTCTCGGCGTCTCGGGCCTCGGCACTCCGACTCCTCCCTCCTTCCCTGTCTCCATCCCCCTCCCTTCCCCGCCCCCCCCCCGCGAGCGCGCGCCCGC